GGTTGGGTCGCCTAGCTCGCCGTGGCTCTGCGTCCTGATATACATGCAGTAAAAACGTCGTAGGGTCACCGTAACAACGCAGTTAGATTTGCATAATTATAGTTTCAGGCCAAACAAAGAGGGAATTTGGCCGTACATATATATATATATATATATATATATATATATATATATATATATATATATATATATATATATAAGGGATGGCAATTTGTAACCGGTTAACCGATTAATCGGTCGGAATGATGAAAATCGGTTAGGAAATCTGTAATCGGTTAGTCGGAAACAACTGAAAATATGTGTAAATTTCTTTAAAAATTCCATATACAATTTAAAAAAGCTATGATTGTTGATGAGTTATAACGTTTTCACATATACATGTATTTAGATATAAATTGTTAAGGCCCTTTGGACTGAGGTGCTAGGGTAATTGGTCAATTTGTGAAGTGTTAATTGCTGTTTAAACAGCATGTCGTTACCCAGTCTATCTTATATTTCTTTAATGATAATAATTAAATCACCGTTGAGTATTTTGAACTGATTACAATGTGTATCTCTTGCAGTTATCTGCCAAATTAAATTCTTATGCAGACGTGGTAAATTAAGTAATAGTATAAACTTTGTTTCTACTTATGGTGACGATGCAGAATGACCTTGTGTAATTTCTGGGCCCCGGGGTCCTCAGGAAGTTAACAATGTCCTTGATACATGTATCTCATGGATGTTTTATGGTTTTCCTTTCGAAATTGAATTAAAATACGTAAAGTATACAGATCAAGCATAACGGAACATTACTAATGCTGTTTTTAATTTATTGAAGGGGTGGGTGGGTGGGTTATGAATAGAATTAAATTTAAAAAAACATGTTCGGAAATGTATAATTTGTTACGATTAACCGGTTAATCGGTCGGGACGTCTTGCGGTTAACCGATTGACAATTCTGTATTCGATTGCCATCCCTAATATATATATATATATATATATATATATATATATATATATATATATATATATATATATATATATATATATATATACATCCAAATCAAATGCAACATGAATGCCAGACGTAATTTTAAAGTTGTTGTCCTTGCAATGTAAAGATTTTTAAAATAAAGAAAAACAACCTTAATAAGTTCACATGTGTACTTTGTTAGAAGTTTCCTTTTTACAAGTTATAAATGTAATACAAGGTAATATCCTACTGTATGTTGAAAATAACTTCGAATAACTGATTTACCTGGCATTTGTTTCGTTCTTTTTTACAAGGCCGTCAGAAAGAGAGGTGTCTTGGAAACGATCGCTGCAATCCCTTTTTTTCTAGAAAAAAAAAAAACCTCTTATAATAAATTTATTATGAACTATATATGGTTTCCAACATATTTTGCCCCGTTATTGATAAAATTCAAACGTCAATGAACCTTCATGAGATTGATATTTTTTAAAACAATAATATTTATATTTTCATTTAATGTTACATTGATATATTAAATTTAAGTATATGCAGTGAATTAATGATTTTAAATTGTCTTAATTCGCACGAAAACGTCAAAAAGTGGCATTTTTGACAGCGTTTTAAAATATATGTGTGACGCCTTGAACAAAACAGAAAGAAAGAAATTCTACATGCAAAAATTATACTTCTTCAAACCAGGTAAAAATCTTTTTAACATTGTCTTTTCTGACTATCATGTAAAGTCACACATGAAGATTTAATACGACGCTGTTGAATAAATAGCTTTGTGTATATTTTTAACATGTATGTATGCCAATATAAATACACGTATTCTAAACATGATAACTACTTCTTAAAATATTTTCGTTTTTTTTTTTTAATCGTGATCTTATCTCAAAATACATTGTTGATATGTAAAATGCGAATATATGGGGTGCAGATCAATGGATATTTCTTCGCTTTGTTCACTTTGTCAATATATGAAAAAAATGTTTCAAAGGAAAGGTGAAATATATGGAGATAACGAACAGTATTCAAGCTCAAAAGTCCATTAAACAATACAAAATAGGAGCAGAGCAAACACGGACCTCTAAACATCAGAGGTGGGATCAGGTGCCATGGAGGAATGAGCATCCCCTACCGACCGGTCACACCCGCCGTGTGCTACTTGTCATGATCGGGAATTAACGGAAAAAATCCGTCGACAATTCAGTTTGAAAATAATGGCCTAACAATTAGTATGAAAAACGTCAGTCAGCATTTGACTCAATGATAAATTGTATTTGCTGACAAGGTCATTGTATCGACCATATATAGAACCTCGTTTTAGAAATTGTACATACGTAGAGCATGCTCTTGCGTATCGAATCAACTGAGAGATATAAACCCCGTATGCAGGTGATGAAGGTATATTGCTGCATAATATTGTATTCATTTTTTTTTAAATATTGCGTTATGTATAAAGAAGATCATACGTGTGTTAATTTGTTGTGAAGTTATTATATTCAGGATATTTTCAGATGAATGCAAAACATTGTTTAAAAGTAACGTTGGTACGGTATACCATACGTGTAAAACTTTTCTAATATTCCCCTTTTATTAAAAATTAAACTTTGTTAATGATAAAGAAATTTAATAAATAATATATAATTAATAGCTACTTCAATGCATTAAGACAACAATTATAGGCCACAGAAAATAATTGTATTTCTTTTTTACATAACACATTCATTTATATGAATTGGAACTTTTTTTCTAGTGACCTCGGGCTTGTCCAAATGACCTTAGGTCAAGGACGTGACATTTTAGGTAAAGAGAACTTCTGTGTCAAGTATTAGTGTCTGTCTTACGAAGTAATGATTGTCAAACGCAATTCCACGGATGAACAGACTAAATACTAACAGTCAGTCTGACTAGTTGATACCCCCCCCCCCCTCCTTCCCTAAAAAGAGAATTTCAAAACAACTTGTAGTAAATATAATTATATATTATATTTCAATTAAACATTGTATAGTTTGTTTTCTTTTTTGAAAAATCGGAATTAGCTATGAAAATTAATGAAATTCAATAAAATTAATAAAACCAGATTCTAGGTCTGAAGGTGAAAGTTTTTCGAAGAGTTTTCATGGCAACGGAATGGATGATCAATCCAAAAAAAAAAATTTTTTCTAACACAGTTGCTTTACCACTTCCCAGAGTATTAATATTGACATTTCCTGAAGGCATTGTAAACGCTATAAAAAATACAATTATAGCCAGATTTCAGGTCTGGAGGTACAGGTATTTGAAGACCGTGTCCACAGCAACGGAATAGCTGATCAATTCAAAATATATTTTCTCAGTAACACAGTTGCATTAGCACTTCCCATAGTAATTAAATATAGCCATTTTCTGAACGGGAGCCAAATGGACTAAACCATTTAGTTGTTTTATGTAATATTTGATAATAATTTCTAGAATCGACCAAAATTGCCATACATACACTGTACTCCGGAGGGTGCGATCCTTGGGCCGATCTCTAATCCCCAAACATCCTAGATTACGTGGCCTATAACTACCTGAGATTAATCACTCAAGATAAAAGATTTCCAGTTTGTTTTACAGCCCAACGATCTTCGTTTTTGGTAAACACCATGGTAAACAGTTTTCCGTTTACTTCTTTGACAAATATACGTATTCTCACTTCTTTTCTGTAAATCTTGCTATTTCGCAATACAATATACAATAGACAGTATCTTTGTTACATTAAAGTTTTAGAATTCATAGAATTTAAAACTAACTATAACAATCTGGTTATATTATATGAATTTTAATTCATTACAATTTGACATTTTAAATTTGCTTAAATTTTTATGAAATTAATTTCCTTTTTCTTAATTTCAGTTTTGTTTAATTTCATCAAGTTTTCTTAAAATAATTTCAATTTTTATTTTTCTGTATCACAAAAAAATATACGCTTTCTTGAATCCATTAAATGCGGAATTTGAGCAATCTGTCACCTTTCGGAAATCAATTTACTCATGACAGATTGTGAAACAATTATTTTATCTACTAAATAAACTGTAAAATTCTTTTTTATTTCGGCCTTTTTGTTGGCAAATTCTTTGCGAGATTGGCTTGACACACTGCTATGTCACAGGTATTAAATTAATTGTACGATTTAGAATCTTGTTTATTTTGTTTCGGCTTCACCTAATCTTCCTATTGTTAAAAAACTCAAAACGGAAATTTAGCTAATTGACTTCATCACCTTTCGGCTCTTTGATAATGTAAGTAATCGGTGTCAAGCTTATCAAAAGAAATTGCCGACTTACCTGTTCGGAACTCTCTAGTCAGAGAAGGTAACTAAATTTTCCCGAAGTTTTGTAAACATTGTCTTTGGAGTTAAATGTTTCATTACAGTAGAAAAAGCGAGTAGCTATCCTACCAGGCTAATTTCCCCAAACTTCACAGACGAAAAAAGTCACTGTGAAATCTTCACTGAGAGGAGGAACTGTCTTTCCAGTATTAAAATCAGTTGTGTTATTTTTTTTAAAACTTTTTTGTGGTTCCTTTTTTTTATGCGAACCGTAGGTATTTGAAATCGAAGAAAATTTCATTTTCGTAGTTGAAAATGAAATGTATTTTTTTTTTCGAAATTTAGACGACAAGAATATTACTTGTAATCAGAGGTCTTTCTTCAGTCTACCATTATATGCATTTCCTCATACTTTCAAAAATTTTGCGCTAACAAAATCAGTATTTTCTAAACACCCTCTCATGAAATCTTCCGTATCACGGTGAAATACAAATTTGCTTTTTTGAGACGGTGCAAAATTTATTTTAATTAAGCAACAAATAAAATATGAAAGGCTATATTAGCGCCATTTTTTTGTCACCCTCGTCCTGTCAAACGGTACCATAGCTACTTGAAGGCAGATAATGAATATATATTGCTCATTTATTTGTAAACCTGAGAGAAATCAAAGTCGGTGCTTTTCGGAAAATGTACAATTGGATTGAAAATCGATACCATGGCTATGTCCATGACAGACGACAGTTCCAGCAGCTGTTTAATACGTCTTCTGGCTCGATCAGACTGGTAGATAGACTGTTAGGTTACTAATGAAGATGTGTTGAAGGTAGGTCCTTGCTTGTAAATTGTTTTATTTTGTCCAACTGAATCTCTCATTTTAGCTAATGGACGCTGCTGTGCCCTTAGAATTAATGATGTGCTTGAAACTTAGACTTAACAGTGAAGACATCCTTTTCAGTCAAAAGAGTTAATTACGTTAAACGTTTTTTAGCTACAGTATATATATATATATATATATATATATATATATATATATATATATATATATATATATATATATATATATATATATATGTCTGTGTGTGTGATTTTCATGTATGATTAAGTCTTGAACGCATTTTAATTGTATGCCCGTGGGTACATGTAGAATTGGTATTTGTGTGGGTTTTTCCCCCCGAATAAACTCTATCTCTTATGATAATGTCTTCAATATCATTTTTTTTTGCCCCTGCCCTGAAGTGGTGAAGTGGTTTACTCCTATCTGTCCGTCAATCTTTCCTTATAATTCCGTCATAGTTTTCCGGATTTATTTTATTTTTATTTATTTAATAATACTTATTTTACTTATATTATTTTTGCTGTGCTTGTAAATATTTTTTTGTGCTTGTAGATCATGAGCTGGTCTTTTGCATGTTTCTTTGTATTGATGACTTACAGTTCAAGCCTCTTGTTGATTGACCCCCTTTTTTTTTACCAAAGTTAAGGCCGCCTAAAACATTAAAAAGTTATAATTATATCCCCGCTCCGAGGGAGAGGGGGTATAATCTTTTACCCTTGTGAGTCGGTCTACCTGTGTGTCTGTCCGTAACAAATTCTCAGCAATTACTCACCGCAGATGCTTGAAATTTTGGCACATTTTTTGTCTTGGCATGCCATATGATAGGACTCATTTTTTACGAATCTGATGTCAACTTCCTGTCTATCCATGCGTCTGTCCGTAACAAATTCCCGTCGGATTTTTCTCGGCAACTACTCAAGGCAGGTTCTTGAAATTTTAGCACATTCTTTGTCTAGTCATGCAATATTGTGAGATTCATTTTTGTACAAATCCGATGTCAACTTCCTGTTTATCCATGCATCTGTTCGTGCCAAATTTCCTGTTTTCTCAGCAACTACTCATTGCTGATGCTTGAAATTTTAACACACCTCTTTTTTGAATATATCTGTATCTTGATGACTTACAAATCAATGTTCATGTACATTGACCCATGATATTTCCCAAAGTTTTGAAAATGATTTATTATTCATTAAGTTGTTTGAAACTGTGTTGTAATATTCAAGAAAAGAAAAGCAGCAATATGATATGATATTTTGTCTCGCTTCCAGATTTCAGTATTTTCATATCCTTATACTTCATTTTTTAAGAGAATGCTTGTCGTCGGCGGGGGATTTTGTGTTACACTGACACATTAATTATAATTAAAACACGATTTCTAAAAGCGAAGTTCTGAAATAACCTGAATGTGCTAAGCTACATGCTCCAAAATTATTTAATGGTAAAGGACCGGAGCTAAAATATCGTCATAGATTTCTGGACACATATTTTTCTATATATATATCAGATTTGTAAATCTCCCTCTCAAACTTGGATTCATTAATTAGTTGGCTTGTGTTTAGAAGACGGATCGCTTTTATGTTTTCATTTGGAATATCTTTCTTCAGACTTTGCTGAAAATACAGCTCAGGTTCCTATCAACAATGCTAGAAATGATATATATCATAATCAATATTTTCCTAAAAAAGTTTTGGTGAGAATAATTATTCGTAGACTTTGCATGACGACGAAAAAGTGACTCTGATTTTATTTAATCACAAGTTTAAATTCAGTGAACATAATATGTACATATAGTTCCTTCTCTGCATTTGTAAGGGTGACATAGATCTAGGTGGTTTAAAATACTTGATAAACTATGTATTGATGAGAAACATGTTAATTTTTTTTTGCCAAGCAGTCGGTACTTGCATTGAAGGAACAGTCATGTGTATCTTGAATGAGGCTATCAACCCAATGAGTATTTGTTAAATGTTGAAATAACCAACATAAATTGTACATCAATGTAACTGTGGCAGAGATTCAGCCCTTTTTTATGGGAATAAGCCATGCATACAACAGCTATGCATCCTTAGGCTAGAAGCATTTACACAATCTAACAATTGAAGGTTTATGTGTCAGTGATATGGCTGTCATTTCTGAAGCAACTTGTAAAAAAAATCGATAAACAACAAATATAAAAAGCCGAATACAGGAAAACCTTTAAAAACCATTCTGTCTGAGATGACTAGTTCTCGCTATAAATGATAGAAAAGCTGTAACCGTGACGAATCCATTTTTCATTTCTTTAAAAAGAGGATTTTCAAACGAGAAATATCAGCTTCAGAATATTAAGAGTAGAATATCGCCCTATACGGGGCCATCGACCTCTCCCATCCCATAATATTATAGCATATGTTTACAGATGCTTGGAATTTTGGCAGAAATAGAACAACAGAAAATTTAACAATCAATAGCAGGACGAGAGAACCATCTTTTTGTTTGTATCACAATCAAAGTACTGAAAGTATGCAGGAAGGAGGCATGAATAACATATTTTTTTGCTTTTTACAATTTCATTTTGTTGTACAAGCGAAATTGTTTAAAAATAAATTTAGTAATACGCTGTATCAGATATAATGAAACCCTTCTTTTATTTGCGTTTTCTACATAGTATGTTTTGCGTCCTACCTGTACATGTACATTGTTAAGGAGGAATGACATAAGTTTGAGAAAACGCTTTAATTTTTTTTAATCTGACAATATATTAACATACTAGATGAAATCCCGCGCAAGTGCGGGGAATTGAATTTTTACCACTACTGACTGATCAATTCCAATTTATTTAATATATCTTACAGTTTCTACTGACAATTATTACAGGCTTATAGCAGGAAGAAGTACTTTGTACAAATTCCCGTAGTTAGTTTAATCCAGTCTTAACAAGCCTGTCTGTTCGTTAATGGTTGTCCAGAGTACCCATAGGCCATATCTGGCTTCTGCTTCACCGCCACCATAGTTAACCGGTGTGCTGTGGCCTTGATCCAGGTTTCCATACTTCAAAGGTTAAACCAGGTGTAAATTCTAGTCCCTTAGTCTTATATGACTGATACTTTGGCCATAGATTCAGAGGTAAAAAAAGACATATGGAGAAATGGTGTGCAATTTATTCATGAGATTGCTTCCACGTGATTTATTCTCATAAATATTCATAAGATATTGCATATACTCGAAATTCCATTTATTTAAATTTTTATGTTAAAACCTGCAAGCCTGTTTTATTTTGTTTTGTCTTCAAGCCTCCGTCATAGTTATATGGGTAGAATTTTGTGTGACTAACAGCTGAAGACTCAGGATGCCGTTTTTGCGATATCAAGTAGGTCACACTGATGCAAGAAATTGCCATTTTCAAATAAAAAAGGCGGTCGTAACTCCTCATGAAATGGTAATTCATGTGTATTTTATAAAAATAGGTTCTCTCCTGCACCTCTTAATCGGCGGAAGAACTCTGTCAACTTGCAATAAACACTTATATTTCATCATCAAAAATGATAAAAACACCAATTATGTACTCTTTCCTTCATTAAAACAATATACTCTCGCTTCGAATTTTCAAATTGAAAAGGCGATCGCAACTTTCACTTTGGTATCAACAGTCTTGTCATTTCCGGTAGAAGATATTAAGAAGAATCAAACCATCGGCGGAAGAACTTTATCCGAAATAGTTAGGATATAAAAATTGTGATTTTTTTGTATTTTCTATATATATATAAACCTTTATGAAATCGGCCGCCATTATAGTTGCAATATGGCCGATATTCAAATGAGCAGAATGAACACCATTTCTCCATATGATATAAAATCATTTTATTGAACATTTATCTGATCTAGCACCTCTTCTGCTCATACTTGACAGTGACTGTTTTGCACTTCTGGTCATGGAGTTTTGAGGGATTTATTTCATGCTGGTATTTACAGCGACACATGGCCTTGTTTCATGCGGCCTCACCCGAAGAACCCGTCAAGTTTTGCAGTGGGGATCGGATTCCATGGCTCTAGAATAAAGTGGGACCTCTGAAAAACAAGTTTGTCACAGAAAAAAGAACATGGCAATTTTAGGCCAATTCGTATAATTATGCATTTCGAAGAACCTTCAATGAAATTTACTCATCTGTTTTCTGTATACCAGGTTGATGTATAAAAACGACAAATTTTAATAATCAGCTTTGATTTTAAATATGGAACGGTTAATCTGAAAGTAAAGAAATCATGAAAGGGATACACTTCAATATAATTCTTTTCACGACGGTTTGCTCTCTTGCGCTGAAGGATGAAAAGCTGTAGATATTGGGGCAAGACCCAAGTACGATGAACTTAAGAAATGAGAAAAATTGCGGAGAACAGATGCAAAATACTTCTATGTCATGAAACAACGAAAACTTAAAAGAGATAGAATTTAATGTCTGTTTTTATGTTTTTGTTTGTTTTGGGAAAAAAAGCTATTATATAAGGGAGGGAACTGTAGAAGAGTTGCGATAGAACAGAATACCTTCAAGGAGATTGAAAATCCATAGTGTAAAAAGGACATATATGCTACATTTATTTTATATTTCATCAAAAAAAATTATGTTCAATTCTCGGACTACAGGCTATATCTTGTCCTGTAATCGATTGCAAGTGACATTTGTTGTAATGACAAAGATGTTTCAATTAAATAGGGTTTTTGTTGTTAACTGTTAATCATTAAAGTTTATTACGATGGAAGACTTGCTTCTGAAGATCAACATCTACTTAAGTTCAGATATAGGGTTCAGATTGCTTAAAAATAGAAGGTCTAAAGCAACAAAAGTGAAAAAAAAAACTTCAAAAGTGTGGACATTTTTAATTTACTGTTGACAGTATTGAATGATCAATTGTTGAGACGTCAAAATGGAACCTATGTTTAGCGTCCGCATGCGCCTTGGTTTTTGGCACCGAATATCAGAAAAAACAAACAAAGCAGGAGTCCTGAAATT